ACAGTGGAGTCTCTCTGATTGGTTGATGCTGGAAATATGTCACTACGTCACACAGTGGAGTCTCTCTGATTGGTTGAGGCGCCGCAGCATTTCCCGATGCTGCTTGAAGCGCGTCCACCATAGACTTTGTATGTAAACCTGAGGCTCCTGAAGCTGAAATCATGTTCGGTGTGAACGCAGCATCAGACAATTCACACATTTTATTCTCCTCAGCTGTGTGTGCGCTCTGTGTGTGTTTCCAACTATGTGACAAAAATATAAACCAGTTTACAGACTGGACTGAGGGTCTTTGATCAGTTTTAGGCTGATCTGTTTTCTTGTCTGAGGTTAAATGATTTTCAGTTTCATCATCGTTCAGTTTAAACAATAAAAACTAAAATAAAAATCTAACRCTGTGTTCAGACGCTCCTTACATCCAGAAAACACAACAGAGTCATATTTCTGTGGGTTCAGCTCAGATCTGTGACTTTGTGAGTTAAAACTGTCGACTGAAAAACTTTGTGTGTCTGCTGCACATTCTCACAGCAGGTGAAAAGTGTGTGTAAATATACACACACATATTTAAACATGTTACCATGTGTCATAAGAAGCAGGTTTATTTTGAATAAACATAATAAACATGTTCATTCCTACAAAACTGTCAAATATATTTACACACAACACTAAACTGATTCAGATTAACATCAAATAAATCATGTTTTATAATTAAATGTCTGTCAATACCCCACCTTAAAATAAAATAAAAAAACACAGCCCACCACCACCAGTTAAAACAATCCTGGGGAAACCCTGTAACCTATCCAAGATGGCYGCCACAGCTGATGGACTTCAGATGGTAAAAACACAGAGATCTTCAGTTCTCCTAAAATATGTTTAMAACTGCTTCAGCACACAACTCCTGTCTGTTTATGCTACGGTTAGCTTTTAGCTGCTGTTCTGATTGTTTTAGTTTGTTAACTTTCACTTTGCTACCGTTCTGCTCCTTTTAGTAATTATCTGCTGTTTTACTACCTTTATTTTGTATCTTTGAATCGTATCCTCTGCTCCCACAGTATGCTAACAGTAGCATCTGTTTTGGTAATTCTAGCATTTCTGTTGCTAATTTAAAACAGTCTTGAAAAAAAAAACTTATATTTTGCTCATCTTAATTTTCAAATCTGCCTTTCTTTTTGCACTGATTTAACAAACGTAACTTTATTATATCAAAATGTACAAATGTTTTACTTTCAGCTAACGTCTGCTGCCTTTAGCTCTTACTTTGTTACCACTTTATGCTTTCAGCTAACAATTTACACATTTTCTGTTATCAGTTTTCTAATACTGATATGTTTTACTATGATTTACATATGTTTTACTACTTTTAAATTTAGTATTTATTTTGCTGATTTTAGCCACAGTTTTGACTATTTTAATGTTGCTCGCAAGTTTTTAAAATTTGTTCTTTAAAGGGATCATTGATTAGTTGTAACATTAGACTGTATTTAACA